TGATCACCAGACATTGAAGATAGGGCCCTGTCTCTTATACACATCTAGATGTGTATAAGAGACAGGGCTAATTTCTCTATAAGCAAAAAACCTGCATTATGGGTCGAAACCTTGCATTATTTTTTTTACAGATTATATATAATAAAAGGAATGTTCATGCAAAATTTCAAGTTTCGGCTTTGCGTATTCGGCTTCGGCCTTCAATTTTTATCCCGAAACTTCAAATTATCACATATTAATAATTTTGCATATAAAAATTAAAAATTATATAAATTATTTAATTTAAAGTTATACAACAATAAAAGGTGGCATATTTTATTTTTTTCTTATTTAGGCATTTACTTTGCCTTGCACTTTTTCATAATTTAATCATTTTTTAATAAAATAAAACTTGTGATCGGCAAATGATCGTCAAAGTGATATAAAGCATGTTAAAATAGCAGTATGTAAGCAGTTAGTATTTTTGTCAATATAATTATTTTTTAACTACGTGAAATTTGCTATGCTCTTATGGATACTGTATAATACTTTAAAATCAAAAATTCCCACAAATATTATTTTTATACTTCTCAGTAGAATTAAAAAGTCAATGTCAAAATATTATGGCATAGCCAAAAACAATTACGTTAGTACAAATGTTTACTAATAAAACATATAATTACGGCAAATTACGGCATTTTAATTACGTCTGTCATAATTCAAAAATTCAATTTCGCTGATAAGTATAATTATTTCTACAAATTATTTTGTATCTCTAAAATATTTCCACAAATTAAAAATCTTTGTTTTCTTTTATCCATAATGATTATACTTGCCACCCATATTAAATGAGATGGGAGAATCTCCTATCTTATCCCATTCCATTTGCCAAAATCCCATCCCAAATTCCAAATTCCAATCCCACCCATATCACATATCCCATATTCCATCCCATATCCCAAATAATTTCATTGGTCAATTATCACATGATGTTACACAAATTTCCAAAAAAAGGAAATTTTGCTTTCCACAAAATTGGGAGATTTTGATTTCACAAGTACAGTCAACTCTCTTTATAGTCACACATTTGGGACAGTCCATATTTGGTGATTATAAAGAGATGTGACTATATAAAAAATTTCTTATATTAGTATATCATAATTCCGGCCAAAAATTGACATAATTTTGGCCAAAATTATACTTAAAACTTTATTGTATCGTAACTCAGCCAATATTAATCGTAGAGGAATGATCTTACCGCCATTCGATTCGTCTCGATGAGACTGTTCTAATGGTATATAATACATTAAAATCTAATCACTAGATTAATTTCCGAAGTTAAAAAAATATTAATGGTTTTTGTGTAATAACTCTGCCAATATTGATCCTAGAGAGACAATCTTACTACCATTCGATTCGTCTTGATGCGACGAATCTAATGGTATAAGATACATCGAAATCCAATCACTAGATCAATTTCCGAAATTAAAAAATATTAAATGGTTTTTAAGTAGTAACTCCGTCAATATTGATCACAAAGAGATGCTCTTACCACCATTCAATTCGTCTTGATGAGGGGATTCCAACGAGCTATTAATCGTCTTTTTAGAATCACTAGATACCGAGAAATTCAGCAAACTGTTAAATGGCGCAGTGAATGTAAATCAAGAAATATAATAATGCCGATGCTTAACATTTTGTTGAATAACACATCAGCCAGTGATCATGAAAGGATAAAACTACCACCATTCGATTCGTCTCAGTGAGACGATTCTAACAAGCTATGGTACATCTTTGTACGATTATTAGATGCCAAGTTATTTAATATATTCTTTATATAACTGTGATTATAAACGGTTCTTTTTAATATAAGATTTTTGAGGATAGGTGTGATAGAGACTATAGATAGATTGTGACTATATAGGATAGATTTTAATAATAAAGTGTTTTGAACATTCAACTGGTGTGACTATATAGTAGAATGTGACTATAACGGGAGTGACTATAGAGGGAGTTGACTGTATTCCAAAAAAGGAAATTTTATTTTCCGCAAAAATTGGGCATATGAGCGTATTATAATAATTGGGCCTTTTTTAAGGTCACTGATCAGATGATTTCTGCATCCGTGATTTGCGCAGCTGATGCATAGCTATCCCGAACACACGAGAAAAAAAAATCTTTGTTTTTTTTGATTTAACCAATCGTTCTAACGTGTTCTAACGTTTAACCAATCATTTTAACTAAAGCTCTGAACGGTTTGGGCTAAACTGGGGAACTGATCCGAAACCGGCTCAAAATTCAGTTCGGTTCAGTTTGGGTATTAGAACTATACTTCCCAGCGAAATTAATTTAATTACGTCATTATACCTGACGTAATAAGCCGTAATAATTACGGTTTTAAATTTTAAAATGCCGATATGCCGTAAGGGCAGTGACATTTATTACGTAATATTTTAGGGGGTGGGAGGGTATTTAAAGGTCATATAACATATAAGTGTAACGTAAGATTTTTCATATTACATGGGGGTGGGGGAGTATGGGCTTATAGTAAATAGATATTACGTAATAAATGTCACTGCCCTAATTAAATTAACCTGTCAAATTAATTACGGCAGTAAAATTTAAATTATATTAAAATAGGAAATAGATCAACTAATAAACACATGATTTAACATGAGTATATTAAATGAACGTAGTATATAATCATGTGTTATATTTCTTAAATTTTTTTTTAAAATATTTCTTTGTCTTAAAAAATGCCAAATTTAAAATATTTTCTAAGGCGTGTACCAATTAAACATTCTGATATAAAATAATACATTTTTTTATATATATTTTATACACTAATTATAATGTCTACTCAAGAAACAAATGGTGGAAGTTCAAGTGGCGTATTATTAAACACAAATAAAGAAAAAGGAAAACCAGGAAGAAAAAGAGGACCTGTTTGGATTCATTTTAATGATATTAGCACTAAAAAAGAAGGTCATATTGGTTGTAAATGCATGTATTGTGGCTGGACTCAAAACCGAGGAGAACCAGCCCAAATGCAAGCACATTTAGCTTTATCCTGTTCAAAAGTTCCTTCTACAATTAAAATAGAATATTTACTTCTTATTAAACAAA